GACACAAGCCCAATGGGTCACTGCCCAGGGCTGATGCAAGAGGCAAACCTAGCATTACATTAGGCTGGAAGGAATAATGAGGGGTCCGAATCGCAGGTTTCATCCCCTAATCTCTCTGGAACCCCAGCTTTGCATCCCAGCATGGTCAGTCCTTGAAGGCCCCCTCATCGCTCCCAGGCTGAGCTCCCATCTGTGGGAGCATTTAACAATTCCTTGGGACACTTCTGGTAAGAGGCAGGACTTTCCTGGGGCCCCTGGCCCAAACTCCCCCCTCTACCCAAAGTTGTGCTGCGGGTTTGCCACCCTCCTCCCCAGAGGAAGCTGCAGTTCAGGGACCGGTGAGTGAATTGCGAGGTACATGTGGCCGGGGGGATGGTAAAATGGTTTTCACAACCAGATGAGGGGGTTGGGAGAAATTCGAGCCCAAACCCTGCGCAGGTAGGGGGCAGAAGGGAAGACAGGAAAGGTCTGGCACTGGGCTAAGGCTCAGGAGATTGGGGTTCAGTTCCCAGCTCTGCCACAGACGTCCTGGGTGACCTTGGGTGAGTCTCTTCACTTCTCTGTACTCCGGTTCCCCATCTACCAAAGGCGGGCCCTTCTCCCCTTCCTCCATCAATGGTTTTGGGGCTCACATGCTACCAGGCCAGGGGCCAGGAAAGCAGCTAGAACAAGGCACTCCGTGATCCACTCAGTCTTTTCCCTCTCACCAGCCCCCTTCTCCCCGTTCTGTGAGCCGTGCTGGAGCGCCCCCGGCAGTGTATCCGGCTGAACCCCCGTGGCCTACACACGCACACGCTCCTTCGGGAGTTTTCGGCCCGGGAACGAACCCACCACCTAAAATCCTGCCGAAGCTGAAGAGCGGCTATTAAAGTGACCGTGGGCAAGAAGGCCCAGGGGGCTGGGCATTCCGCAAGGCTGGGGGGGGGGGGAGCTCAGTGGTTTGAGCATTGGCCTGCTAAACCCAGGGGTTGTGAGTTCAATCCTTGAGGGGGCCATTTAGGGAGCTGGGGCAAAAATTAGGGATTGGTCCAGCTTTGAGCAGGGGGTCGGACTAGATGCCCTCCTGAGGTCCCTTCCCACCCTGAGAGTCTATGATTCTATGATCACAGGGCCTAGGCTGCCCGGGGACCCGGCTGCCACTGCAGCCTTGGCATGATCACGAGCCCAGCTGGCCTCTAGCTACACTGGACGCACAGAGGCAGCTGGCTCTTGCTTTATGCATCTGTGAATCGTGTCTCTCCCCCTTTCCCCCCACCCAGATGGCACAGCGAACCTCTGATGGCGGGGGGGGCGGGGGGGGGGTCCTCTGCCTACCTTCTCAGGACAGCTGTCTGTCTCTGCTTTCTCCTCTTCCTAAATCTTCAGGCTTGGCTGACTCACCTCGCCACCAAGGAAGGGGAAATCAGAGACAGCAAGGCAGGGCACCCGAGAGGCGAGACAGCCCGACAGCAGCAGGACAGCACCATCTAGGGTTGCAGAGGACAGGTTGTGTCGTGCTTCCCTTTTCCATAATGACAGGTTTCAGTGAGCTGTTGCTCACGAAAGCTTAGGCTCAAATAAATTTGTGAGTCTCTAAGGTGCCACAAGTCCTCCTTTTCCTTTTCCATTGGAGCCCACCGGTCTCAGTACGGTGGAAAAACAAACCAGAGCTGCATTACCTAATAATAGGTTTCAGAGTAGCAGCCGTGTTAGTCGGTATTCGCAAAAAGAAAAGGAGGACTTGTGGCACCTTAGAGACTAACCAATTTATTTGAGCATAAGCTTTCGTGAGCTACAGCTCACTTCATCAGATGCATTCAGTGTGCATGATAACACCCATTTTTTTCATGTTGTGTGTGTATATAAATCTCCTCACTGTACTTTCCACTGAATGCATCCGATGAAGTGAGCTGTAGCTCACGAAAGCTTATGCTCAAATAAATGGGTTAGTCTCTAAGGTGCCACTCGTACTCCTTTTCTTATTACCTAATAATCTAACTCCAGACGCACACCCAAAGGTTCATCCGTGACCATGTTCTTAGTAACTTCATGGCGGGGGGGGAGGGGAAACCTGCAAACTCTTTCATTAGCATTGAAGATGCAATTGCCAGGCAGACTTGTAGGAAAGAGATCTTTATTGAGCTTGCGTAGTGGCCAGAGTTAACGGCATGAGAGGTCTGTGCTTGTCTGGCAGCCTCCTGACCCCCAGCTTGCAGGCCTGCAGCCCTGGTGCCCCACTGAAGCGGGTCTTTCCTGAAACCCTCCCCTCTTCCTCCCCATCAAACTTCACCAGCCATGGTGCAAATATGACAAGAAAAACAGAAACCAGGGCCACTTCAGGCAACTAATGGCCACTAGGGCCACATCATCCGTTTAAGGAAAAGCTTTTTAAAGAACCAGCAACTTTCATGTCTGAAAATATGGAGGGAAAGTACCCCCACTCGGCTCTGATCTTCTTGTCTTTGAGATTCCAGATGGTTTTGAAGAAAGCGAAGCTTTCTGGCTGCAAATATCCTGAAATCTAGCGTGACAGTCTAGCCCCCACTCAGTTTAAGAATATTTGGGATGACATCTCAGTTGCCAAAGGCTCACGTCAGGGCATTGTTGTGAGAGAAAACAAGACATGCGTTTTAAAAAGCATCATTACGATGACTAATTTTTTTTTTTTTAATGATACGTCAAGCACCTGGAGGAGCGCTAGGCAGCTCCCAAAGCAAGCAAAGACATGCCTCCTGTTCTAGAGAGCACACAATCCTGCAAGGAGAACTGCATGGGCTGATCCCTGCTCCTGCGTGGAGCCCCGCTGGAGGCAATGGGGCTCTGTGGGCATGCAGGGGTCCACCTGCACAGTTCTCTTTTGTAGCATGACCTAAGCAGGCAACACCATGGACAAGGGCAGGCAAGGAAGGACAAGGGTCACAACAGAAAGATCACACAGATATGCAATAAAGACCTGATCCTGAAATGAGCTCTGTGTGGGAAGGCCCCTGCTGAGCCTCCGCATTCATTGCAAGCTCAGGGCCTAAGGCCGTGGTTCTCAACCCATTTACCACTGTGGGCTGCACATGCAGCTCTCTGTGTGTTATGTGGGCCACATCCACTCCATAGGTACACTGCCTGTGTGGCCTGGAGGATGTCACGTGGGCCGCAGTAGTGTGCTGACTGGGCCACAACCAGGCTGCAGGTTGAGAACCACTGGCCTAAGGCATGGGCACAGCATGATGTTTAGGAACCTAATTATCTGTAAGTGGTTGTTATCTGTGAATGTGGTTACGGTAACAGTTTGGTGCCATGGGGCGGTGGTTTAGCAGGAGGATGCCTTAGCATGGCAGTTTACTATTTACACCATTATCACTGCCATTTATTATCAGCAGTGTTACAGCAGGACCTAGGTGTGCCCTTTGGGGGTCAGGGCTAGGCGCTGAACAGACACCAAGAGCTCGTCAGGCTGCACGGCCGGATGCCCCACACGTCCAGTGTCGCTCTCCACCCAGCAGCCGCTCCACGTTGGGTCAATCTCAGGTGCCCTCTGCAAGTCACCAACATGGCCCCCTTGCCGCCTCCCAGGCAGGGCTCCCCCATTCCCATTCCCATTCCCATCCCCCCAGGGTGGCCAGGGTCTGGGCTCCCCCCAGGCTGGCCAGGGCTCCCCCCCTTCCCATCCCCCCAGGCTGGCCAGGTCTGGACTCCCCGCTTCCCCCAGGGCTCCCCCCAGGCTGGCCAGGTCTGGGCTCCCCCATTCCCATCCCCCCCAGGCTGGCCAGGTCTGGGCTCCCCCCTTCCCCCAGGGCTCCCCCCTTCCCATCCCCCCAGGCTGGCCAGGGTCTGGGCTCCCCTCTTCCCCCAGGGCTCCCCCCTTCCCAACCCCCCAGGCTGGCCAGGTCTGGGCTCCCCCCAGGCTGGCCAGGGCTCCCCCCTTCCCATCCCCCCAGGCTGGCCAGGGCTCCCCCATTCCCATCCCCCCAGGCTGGCCAGGTCTGGGCTCCCCCATTCCCATCCCCCCCAGGCTGGCCAGGTCTGGGCTCCCCCTTCCCCCAGGGCTCCCCCTTCCCATCCCCCAGGCTGGCCAGGGTCTGGGCTCCCCTCTTCCCCCAGGGCTCCCCCTTCCCAACCCCCCAGGCTAGCCAGGTCTGGGCTCCCCCAGGCTGGCCAGGGCTCCCCCATTCCCATCCCCCCAGGCTGGCCAGGTCTGGGCTCCCCCCTTCCCATCCCCCCAGGCTGGCCAGGTCTGGGCTCCCCCGTTCCCAGCCCCCCAGGCTGGCCAGGTCTGGGCTCCCCCCTTCCCCCAGGGCTCCCCCCTTCCCATCCCCCCAGGCTGGCCAGGGTCTGGGCTCCCCTCTTCCCCCAGGGCTCCCCCCTTCCCAACCCCCCAGGCTGGCCAGGTCTGGGCTCCCCCCAGGCTGGCCAGGGCTCCCCCCTTCCCATCCCCCAGGCTGGCCAGGGCTCCCCATTCCCATCCCCCAGGCTGGCCAGGTCTGGGCTCCCCATTCCCATCCCCCCAGGCTGGCCAGGTCTGGGCTCCCCCTTCCCCCAGGGCTCCCCCTTCCCATCCCCCCAGGCTGGCCAGGGTCTGGGCTCCCCCAGGCTGGCCAGGCTCCCCCTTCCCAGCCCCCAGGCTACCACGCTCCCCCATTCCCATCCCCCCAGGCTGGCCAGGTCTGGGCTCCCCCTTCCCATCCCCCAGGCGGCCAGGTCTGGGCTCCCCCTTCCCAGCCCCCCAGGCTGGCCAGGGCTGGGCTCCCCCAGGCTGGCCAGGGCTGGGCTCCCCCCCTCCCAGCCCCCAGGCTGGCCAGGTCTGGGCTCCCCCCTTCCCAGCCCCCCAGGCTGACCACGGCTCCCCCATTCCCATCCCCCCCAGGCTGGCCAGGGCTGGGCTCCCCCCTTCCCATCCCCCGCCCCCGGGAGATTGGCCCTTCTGGCCCCTCATGCGCCCTCTCGGTGGCCCCTCCCCTGGCGGGCGGCGGGCCCCTCTTGACGGACCGCGGCGGCCTCTCCTTGCTCCCGGAAGTCCATGTCCCTTCCGGTCCCCCCCACCCCCCGCCGCCCGCTCTCTCCCCCTCCCCAGGTGCCCGGCCCGGCGGTAAGATGGCGGCGGCGGCCGAGTGCGATGTGATCATGGCGGCGCCCGAGGGAGCCGGGCTGCTGGGCGGCGAGGAGGAGACTCGCAGGTAGCGGCGGCCGAGGGGGGCGCGGGGCCTGGGCGGGTCTGGGGGGGCCGGGCCCGGGGCGAGGGGGGGGCTCAGTCCCCGGCACCGCCCCCCCCCGGGGTGCCCCGTTCCTTGGGCCTCTCCCCCATTGTCTCTGGGGGGGGCCGGTCTCAGGGTCGCGGGGGGGGGCTCGGGGAGGCAGGACCCCCCCCCCCGTGGGGGCTGCAGCGGGGGGCGGCTGCTGTGAGTGGGGCGGGGCGGGCCTGCCCCGCGGCCTGGCTGGGGACAGTGGGCGCAGCGAGGTGTTAAACCCCCACCCCCAGTCCGGGGAAATCCGCCCCCTACGGCCGGGTGACGGGGGGTGTCCCGGGGATACTCGGGGGGGGGGGTGCCTGGGTGAACAGTCCGGGTCCAGGTGCCTTTTTCTGCCACCCCCTTGAAATGTCTTTGTAGGGCCCCCCCCCGTGCCCCTTGCGCTGTGCCCTGCGGGGGCTGGGGGCTGCACGCCAGGTCCCTCGCGCCGGCCACGGAAGGGGAACTTGTCCAGGCACCTCGACTGCGCCCAGCCGTCGCGGCCCCGTCTGGGCAGAAGGGCCCCGTCTCCACCAGCTGCCGGCCCGGGGGGTGGCCGAGCGGCTGCCCGGGGGGTGGCCGAGGCTATGCTGCCTTCACCTGGCCCAATCCGAGGAAGGGCGGCCGCGGTGACCTTTCTTCACGCTCCGTGTGCTGGGTCTGCAGGACCGAGGAACAGGGGTGCTCGGAGCGGAGTTGGACCACGGCCGCCCTTTCGGGAGGGAGGCGTCGTGTGCGTGCGGCATGGGGAGAAGGGCCTGCCGCTCCCCGCATGTGAGGCTTCGTTTCGGGATGGCTTGGCCGCATGTCAGATGCGAAGCTCTGTGGCCTTGGCCGGCCATGTCCTAGTACGAAAGGCAGGGGTGGTTCCAGTCCCTGTCTGTTTTATAGAAAAGTTTCAGTCTCCTTTGGGCCAAACTTCGTGCAGTACAGCAAACCCCAGCCCGCTGTACGGTGCCAGTTGGCCTACCACTTAGCTATTGCAGTGATGGGCGCCACAGAAAACATGGATAGGCAGCAAGTCTGGGCTTCCTCGAACTTGGCTTTGGTCTTTATCAGTGTGTTCCACCATTTCTGCCTGGGGCAGTGTTGACTAGGGCCTGCAGAAGCCTTTCTCTGCCAGATCGAGGTCTGCCCCAAAGAGGGAGTTAAAGAGTTAAACTATGCATGTGGTGGCGGAGGGGGGGTCCTCATAGTTCAGAACCCTTGAAGAAGGTTCAAATTCTTTTCCCTTCTCTAACTCCTTTGCCTGAGGACTTCACGGATACTTATTAATTGCACCTACCTGCAACAGAACAGTTATTGTTTGAGATTTTTGATGGAGTCCTGCTCTCCAATACCTGTCCCGTGCTCCGTGGAAAAATGGTCACTGTGCACATTGGTTCTCTAAAGTACACTATGTATTTGAAGGCAGGATTGGGTGTTGAAAGTACTAGGGCAGCTGCGTTCTTCTCCATCTAGTAATTGCTGAAAGATCAAACCTCCTTCATCCCTAAAGCTAGTTGGCAAATTTTGCTCAGCGGTGAAGATGCTGTCTGAGGCCGGGCGTGGTGAGGATCCCAGCCCTTTCCTCTGGTAATTCATTTTCTTTCCAAGAGCAAGTGCTTTTGTTACCACCTGCTGCCACAATCACAGCAGGGGATGAAGTTCCTAGATCCTCCTTTAGGAGGCACTATGCTAGTTCTAGTGTGCAAACCTGGCAGCTGTGTCTCAGCAGTCCGGTGTCTCCAGGAGGACTACAACATCTGGGAAGGGGTGGCTGAGCCTGCCACTCTGGAAAGGTGGTCACCTGACTGAAGCAGGAGGACAACATGAAACTGAAAGGGGCCTCTGGGTAGTGCCAGTTTCAAAACGAGGGTGAAGGCCTGAGGTACGTGTGCTGCTTATTAGCTATCAAAGGGTGAGGGCCAAGGGCGTGGCGCTGGGAGTATTGTAGCACCCTGGTGTGGTTAATTAAATAGATAAATGACACTGTTAAAAAAGCACCTGAATGCGTTACAGAAAATACTAGTGCAAGGAGAGCCCTGCTAAGTTTCATGTGATCCACACCCTCCCCTGGGCTAATGTGCGATTGCTCCTTACAGTATTTTCTCCAGGGCTTTGCTCACTTTTAAATGACTAGTTGAAATATTAAATGTCTCAACATTTAGAAATCACGAACTGGGCTCAGTCTTCCTATGACAGAGTTCTCTAGCACCAGCCCCTCTCCTCCTCCATACCTGTGTGCAGAAGGAAATGAAATGGTCATGAATAAAACGATCCCCATAGAAAGGACTGCAGAGTCCCAGAAACAGAAGAACTTTGACATCCTCGGTGGGGGGGTTGGTTCCTGGCCCACTCCAGATAGAACCCCGGGAATGGAGAGCAAAAGCAACCTAGCTCACTCAGCTGTCTTGATGGGATAGGGCCAGTACCTCAGTCCCGAGTCATTAAGTTTCAATCTTTCATCCAGTGGTTGTCCTTTTGAGGGTGGGATCCCCAGGCCTTTTTTTTTTTTTTTCCCGTTGGGGTGATCCTGTCTTTTAATCTGATTGAGGGGTGGCAGGGCAACACTATTGCAGGGTCACCTAGAGGGGTGGTGTTGAAGGAAGGAATTAATATGCTACTTCCAAGATGCTCCCATCCCCTCTTGGTAGCTCAGAACTTGGAACCTACATATCCGTCTTCTGTATGCCAGCTGGTAGCCTCTTGGTTTGAGCAGATGCCTGCAGTCAAGAACTTCCTGAGTGTTAATCTTCTCTTTGCCATGAAGTTCCTCTCTGGGTTTGAGCAAGTTCTTTAGCTTCTCTGGCCCAGTTTACCCATTTGTAAAATTGGGATACTGCTCAGCTGTGTCAGAGAGGGTGTTTGGAGACTTAGCTAATGTCTGTAAAGCCCCTTGAACCATGCAAAGTGCTATAAGAACATAAGAATGGCCATACTGAGTCAGGTCCATCTAGCCCAGTGCCCTGTCTTTCAACCATGGCCAATGCCAGGGAATGAACAGAACAGGTAATCGTCAAGTGATGCATCCCCTGTCGCCCATTCCTAGCTTCTGGCAAACAGGCTAGGACACTATCCTTGCTAATAGCCATTGATGGACCTATTCTCCATTAATTTATCTAGTTCTTTTTTGAACTCAGGTATAGTCTTGGCCTTCACGACATCCTCCGGCAAAGAGTTCCACAGGTTGACTGGTCTATGTAAGTGCTTAGTGTTACTGGACTTAGGCAGACTAGGCATTGGAACCTGATGCTTCACTACAGCTTTTGTAGAGCGCGTGGGTAAATTTCCTAGTAAAAAACCCACCCCACAACCTGCATAAATTGTTTTGATACAAATGTGTTTTTGGACTAACCTTTGCCCGAATGTACTAAAATGGTTCTGATGGCTGCTTCTGCTTACCGAGGCTGGAGGAAAAGATAGACGGTAGCAAAGCAGTGATTTGTATTTCAGCATAATTGTCCTGGCATTGCACTGAAACAGCTGCAAATAAACGGAATGTGTCATTTGCAGGTTGTTCAAGAGACGTGTCGGGGGAAGGAGTGGAGTATGGTCATGGGGTAATGGTTGCCTGCTGTTGCATAAATTCCAGGGATACTTATGGAAAATGATGGATGTAACGGCACTAATTTTATCTGGTGGTGGTGCAGTTAGTGACAGTTATTGTTGAACAGCTGCATTCTGATTGGCTAAAGTTCTGTGTTCTGATCCAATCACAGATCAGCATATCCACAAGAGGGGGAGTTTTTTTAAAAAGATTTCTAGACCATGGAAACGGTTTTCTTGTGGCTCAATTGATTTCTGAAGCTTTATTTCACTTCATTTTTTGTCAGATAAATAGTTTCTCGGTCATCTGCTTGGCAGCTCCAGAGTCTATCCGTTGTGCATATATGCAGGGGGATGTTTCCCCTCATTCTTCAGTGCTGAATGATGTGGAAGAAGTATCTTAAAAAGAGGTATCTTTAAAATGTCTCATTGCTAAATTAATATTAGGATTAACAGTTCCTTGATCAAACCTTTTCCTTTACTATTTGGTACCAGCTTCAGAGTGGCCGTGTTCCCAGAAGGTGCATCACAGTTACCTTTGTAAAATGGAGAGGGTGAGATTTACACAATGAAGAAAAAAATGTGCCAAACCAAAGCATTTGAATTTTCCCTCATCTTGGGGTCGGAAGGCTTCACCTTTAGGTGGCCAGTTCAAATCCAGTGTAGCTCCATAGTGAGGGGATCACTGCCATCTCATGTGAAATGAGTTGGTGGGTCTCCAAGTGAACAAATCTCATTAATTGACTCTTTTGTTGACAGCGTCAGCAGCAAACTAAAGGTTTAATTGGCCATGAAGCCTGAAGACATTCTGCTCATGGATAAGGTACATTGATAACATTGGTACTGTACCTGTGCTGTGAATAAATAGGGCTTCCAGTGGTCAAGGCCAAAATGGAATTCTTTTTTTAAAATAACCAGTGGTGCTGAAAAGAATTCTTCACACAAATACTAAACTAATATGAATACATAGCGCACTACAGGATTTGAATAATTGTGTTTATAGAATCAGTGTACAGTAGGTGTACAAAAATTAAATATTTAATACATACATTTTATGTAGAGCCTTACGTCTTCAAAGCATCGTACAAGCTCCTTTGTTTTGGTTGAGGAATCCTATATTGTAGAGGATGAGCATGGGCTTATCATAAATGTGTGTTGGTTACTTCTTAAACCCAGTCAGTTCCCTTGATTTCAGTTGGCCTTATCAAAGGGCTCTCTGGCTGCACTCTTTAAACCTCTAGCGCCACAATAGTTCTGGGTCTATGTCCATTTCCATGAAAACAAAACGGAAGCAGAATATTCCTGGCACTAGGCCCATCTGCGAATGTTATAAAAGTGGCATAGTGGGTGTTGTCCTCACCAGAACTGATTTAGGGCCGTGATTTTCAACCTTATTGATACCAGGGGCCAGCTTGCTGCCT